CTGTTGATATTGTAGCTTCAGCGGGGCGGGGCCTCCCGGCAGGTCCCGGCACGGTCACTGCAGAGAGGAAGCAGCAGAAGAGCCGCTGTGTGCCGGGCCCGGGGGGTGGGTGCAAGAAGAGCCCCGCCAGGCAAGGGACAGCGCGAGCTGCTGGGCAGAAGAGAGCAACCAGAGGGAGGGAGAGGCAGATGGACCCTCGCCAGGAAGAGTTGTCCCCACGGGGTCAGTCAGAGGGGCTCAGGCCCGGCCAAGCCCCACCCCCCCACAACACCCTCTTCCAGGGTGGCTAAGCCAGGTCGGCCCTGGGAAACAGCTGCCCCTGGAGGGGGGACTTGGCTTGGTGCTCCTGGGACTGGACACATGCTTGGGGCCTTCTGCTCCGCTCCAGGCACAGTCTGAAGAGCGATGACTGTTTTCCAGCCTCAGTGGATAAAGCATCGTCAAAGAACAGAACCGAAGGCTCTTCTGAACCTAGAATTAACGTACCACCTGTTTTGAGGGTGGGAGTACGTCTCTAGAGACGGCAGAGAATTCATGCCAAGCGCGTTTAGCTCCTGCCTTCGTCGCTGGTGCTGGCGCCTTTAAATACTCCGCAGCGCAGAGGTTCAGCTCTGCGGTGTGTGGGAGGATGTGGAAGCAAGGCTGAGCAGCAGGAGGGCAGGGGGGTTGTGTCCGATCCCGTCTGTGTCCCTGCGCGTGCACTGGTGTCGCAGCCCCGCCTGGCTCCGCACTGCGTAAAGCTGCGCTGCGTGAGCCCAGGCAGTAAGGCCCTGTGCCCGTTTCCTGTGTGGGAAGTGAGTTTGGGGCTTCAGCCGAGGATGAAAGCACAGGCGATTCTGCTGCGCGCGCAAGGGCTGCAATCCCCTGCGCCCCGAGCGCTCGCAGCCCTCTAGCCCCCCGGGGTTGTCAGGGGAGGGGGCGCCTGGGCATCAGTGCAGAGGGAGAAAGAAGGTCCCAGGTAGTAAAATGAAGGAGCAGACGTGGTGCGAGGCCTTCTGTGCGTGCTTCGCAGAGTGAGCGGGCGAGGATCCAGCTCTCCGCTCTGTTCCCTTCCTTGGAAGCTGTCTGTAAACAAAGGTTTCTGTTCGCTGCTGGCTGGAAGGCCGGGGAGGGGACGAGCACACTGAGCCGATGGGACTGAAAATCTCCTGCTATTTCCCCCATTTTATCTGCCTGGAGTGTGGAAGGACAGCTGCCGTCATCTCCAGCGAGACAGTTGGACAGCAGAGAGTCATTCTGGCCCTCAGGATCGCAGGCTCAGGCTCACTCGGGTAGGCAGCTGTTGATCCAGCGAGCTGTCAAGACGTTAAAATCACCAAATGCTTCACCGTGTCCCTACGCGAATTAAATACGAGTGAGAGAAGACTTGGCGGTGCTGGAGACCTGTGCACGACGAGCCTTTCAGGGGGATGGGGACAAGGAATTGTCTGGAGACGTCCCCAGAGAGTGATGGGAATCGGTGAAATCCGAATCTCCGCTGGAGCTGAGGAAGAAGGTCTGCACCCCTGCCCAATTTGTCCTGAGATGGTCACCCCCAGGACTCGCTCTGTTGCCTGGGGGTCAGCCCCAGAAGCCAGCGGGTCTGAGCTGCTGTCGGGCATCGCAACGCTCGCAGCACGGTGGCTGGCCGGGAGGAGAAGGGGCAGCGCTGCGAAGAGACGGGGTGCCGCGGAGCCGTCCGCCCCACGTGAGGGCACGGGGGCTCTGGTCTGTGCCCAGCGGTGGCCGTTCGTTGGGTGCCCGAGGTGTCCCTTGTCCCAGCAGGACGCGTCCCTCGGCACGGTGACAGCCG